CCCACTGTGCTGACCCCTACATGCTTTCTTTTCTAAGAAGCCATTTACCTGTAGCCCTTCCTGGCTTAAGTGGATGGATAAATTACATTCCTCAAAAAACCACCTATTATATGCAGGAGAAATGAAGGCCCCAAATAATTCTGATCAGAAAAACAGAAATTATCCTGAAGGCAGGAACTTTATGACCTTTTCACAGATCAGAACCCAGAACTCAGGGAGATAAGGATAATTCCTTCTGGCTATAAATTCTGTAAGAACAGGTTCCAATTAGAAACGGTCATCATGGGCCAGAGTGACCCAGAGTTGTCATGGCCGTGGACACTTGAAAGTTTGAGGTCAACCTGCTATCAGTCAAAAGTTAGGAGACTGATCTGGGTGCGATTTTCTGGAAGCTTCCCTGGGACCCCCAATAATACTGGAGCGAGGAGACATATGCTGTCCCTCTCCTCTTTAAGAGAACCCACTTTCTTCCTTGGGAGTATCGCTCATTTCCTTTTCCTATTCCTTCTAATAAACTCAGGTCTGTTACTCTGAGTGATAAATCTGAAATCTTTTTTGACTTGATTGTGTGTTTGAAAGGGGGCCTTCATGCTCTCTCAGATTCCTAGATATCCCAGCCCTATAACAGAGAGATTTTCATTTTAATCAGATGGATTTCCAACTCTGAATCTCATTCAGTGACTTGCTTGGTGTAGTTCAGTGGATTTAGGAAGACATACATCTCTTACCTCCTTTATGATCCATTTTCTTCCTTGGCAAAAAGGAAAATATAAACCTCATTTCATGAAGCAACACAGTGAGGTTTAAGTGATACATATACAGAATGTGGCATTAAAAAGCAGTTGCTGAATAGCAAAGATAATTGTTGTTCACTCAACAAACAGAAACATTTTAGAGAATTTCATGATAGTGTGGGTTTTGAAACAAGACATCTTGGGTTCAAATTTTGTTTATTAGGTCTACTATTTTAACAAGTTGTTAAATTTCTCTGTAACATTGTGGTAAAAGAATTTATTTCAAGAATAAAATAGGACAATGTCTGTAAAGATTATCATAGTCACATGTGCAGTAAGTGAAAGTGATCCTCATCTTTTTTCATTACATATTAAATATTAAGTGCCAGGATTTGGGTTAGGTGCTTAGAATCAGAGGTGGTTAAGATGTAGACGTATCCCTCAAGGCACTTACAGTCCTCGGTTACTAAACAAGGGTAACTAGATCCATTGTGAATGAATCCCTGGGATTACAGGTATGTGCAACTGTACCTAGTGGGCAAACAGATTTTAGGATCTCTTCCCATTGTGTTTCCAAGTGGCTCTATTACCACCCTGGAGGAAAGAGGCTAGGCTACAAGGTTGCTGCTCCAGAAATATTCAGAGTCAAATTGGTAGTAAAATAGACTTTATCCAAAACCAACTTTAAAGGAACAGAGAGAAAATTTATTTACTTCAAAATGTTCCATTTTTGAAATACCTGAAAGTGAGCAGAGGTTTAAAGGAGGGGAGGCAGGGGAGAAGGGACATGAGACAAAAGGCAGGAGATGTTCATGTGTGGATTTGGTTGGCCTGTGTTAGCCTGAACTGTGGGACAATCTCTGCTCCCAAGCAGCTTCTCTGGAGCCTGGGGGGGTCGGAGGGGGACACACACAGCCTCATCCACAGCCTCCACTCTCAGCCTGAGGAAGCCACTCCCAATTTCAGATGGAAGGCATCCAAATTCAGCCTGTCTCAAATGGAAGGTTGAAACTGAGAAATCCTATAAAATCCTCCCATCCGCATTCTCTGGAATTTCTCTTAGGGCTGCTAAGTCATTGTTTTGTATTCAGTTCTTTCACTTGCCTGTTAGATTCTTTTTTTTCCAGAAATAACTTTTTGTATAAATGTCTCCTCATCAGTTCACTGAAGGTAGTCTGCAAAGTCCCAGGAGCAGTAAGGTAATAAAACAAAGTGGCAGAGAAAGAGGAATGAGAAAGCAGTGTGGCCAAACTGAGAAGGGAAGGAGCCCATCAGCACTCTTCACCTCCTGGAGGCTGCCTTCTCCCCAGCTCTAAAGGTTCCTCACTCCAGGTGAGACTAGGGCAGGGGTGGGACATGGTTCATCAGGTGAATTGGTTCTCTCTGAAATGGATGTGTCCCAGAGAGGCTACTCCGGAGCCAGATGTGGGAGAGGAGCTCCCTTACAATCCTGGGGATATCAAGAGGTAGCCTGTCATTCGTTTATATCTCCATTCTACAGATTTTTTATTTCTTTTATCCTATCTCACTTATGGGAGACTTTTACACTCCTTTTAATTTTATGAAATTTACAAATTATTCAATTCTCTAGCTCTGGTTAAAGAGGAAGTATCAGCATTTGTGTATATGACACTCTATACAAAACTGAGTTCACAGGAACACCAAGCCTGATTCATCAGCCCATATTGTAATAATGTCTTCATAACCTGAAATAAACAGCAAATGAGGATAATAAGCAGTAAATAAAAAACAGTAAATCTTCATCCAATGAGAATACAAATTCTGGTAACACAACAGAGCCAAAAGTCAACAGACTAAAGGTCAGACTTGAGACACAGGCTCCAGTGAAAGGCTGGTGAATGCTGAGGCATAGCAAAGAGTTAAGAAGGAGCGAGTGGGCAGCAGAAGGGCCCTGGGAGATTGGCAGGCTCTGCACAGCCAGAGGAGGCAGCCACTGGGGAGCCTGAGTCCCGCAGTCTGACCAGACCCTGCCCAAGAACAGGCCTGCAAGAAACCAGGATCAAGTCTGGGATGCAGTCTATGTTACAGAGAGAGATTTGGCCCTACATTCTCCCAATGAAGGTAGCACTAATGGAGGGAAGTGGGCGTCCCAATGTTCACTGCTCCAGAAATCTTCATCATCTACTTTATATAAAAAAAGAGTTTTTATTAAAAAAAAAAACAGATTTGAAGGAAAAGAGAAGAAACTTATTGTTTGTAAAGTTCCTTTTCTCTCATAGCAGAAGCAAGAGCAAAATAAGGGGAGAAAAATGGCAGGGGGAGAATCCCCTGAAAACCAAAGGGGAGATCAGCAGAGTAGAGGCAAGGGATTGAGGGGCAGGGAGGACAGAGGGAAAAAGGAAGGAACAGTCAAAGGATTTGACCAAATTATCTTGTGTAAATATATGAATATACCACAGTGAATTCCACCTTTGTGTCTATCTATAAAGCACCATCAACTAAACAGAAGGAAGACCTGTAGGGTAGAGGAAGAGGAAAGAGGGGAGAAAAAGAGAATGTACTAGAACTGAAATGGAGGAAACTATATTCCATGCATATATGATTATATCAAACCCCACTATAATACATAACTGTAATGCTCTAATAAAAACATTAAGAAAAAAAGAAGAAGAAGATATAGGTCATGTTTCTCCTATAACAACTTGGCTTAGCTTAGATTTTGCAACTACAAGGTAAATGAGACCATATATCACAAATTTCATAAAACCCATGTACTTGAAATAAGCATCTTGGCAAAATTACAGATGTTGTATTTCAAAAGAGCAAAATTGAAAATAAAATGAACAAGTATAAAGTGATACTAAAAAAAAATCCCTCTTGTAAATCTCTGAAGGTGAGCAAAGCTTTTAAAGGAGAAGAGGCAGTGAGGTGGGACAAAAGGCAGGGATACACACATGCAGATTTCACCTGTGCTAGACAGGCCTGGTGAGGGGCAATCTCCATTCTCAGCTTCCTGGGCACCAATTAGGCTGTGGAGTGATTGGTCAACCACTCAGCTTCTATTCTCAGAATAAGGAACTTGTTCTCAATTTTAGGGCAGGGTAAATGTAATCCATTTTAATATTTCCATTTAATGTGTAAATTCAGACAATTCTGCTTTGGTTAGTCCAAAGATGTATGTATGAACAGGAATGGCCTCCAAAAGATTTGGGGAAATTCTGGGCAGCAAGATCAAGTTTTCTGATTTATATTTATACCTATCTTTCTGAGTATTTTTTTTAAAAAAAATGCATTGGGTTCTATTAGGGAAGTAATTATAAGGTAGCTCCTCTTTGTAATTGTTTAGTTTTAATTGGGGACTGATTATGGCAGTGGAAATGGTCAAAGTGGATCACATCTGAACATGTTTTGAATGTCAAATCCAAAATGCTTGATAATGAAGGGAATATGGATGTATGGAGGAAATAAGAAGAATGTTTTCAGCCTATCTCCACAGTTTCAAGCTCAACAACGACTCAGATGGTATACTACTTACTGCCATAGTAATAGCAGGAGGACTAGGTTTTCAGAGTGGATGCAGTCGTTTTTATTTATTTAATCTGGAGTTTCATGTGATGTATATAGTAAGGGATATCATACAGGCATTTAAATATACAAATCCAGAATTTAAAGAAGGAAAGACAAATCACAAGTCATACATAGAGAAATTACTTATTACTATAGAAAGAGCAGGCCCAGAATGGAGTTGCGAAGTGCTGTTTCTTGTAGTATGACAGCTACTCTAACTTACCTGAGGCTAAGTTTTACTGGGGTGAGAGGTTTTCAGGGCTGCAACCAGCAATGCCCTAGTAAAACTGGGTAAACTGGTCACCTATCAGAACTCTCGTAAGAGCATATTTGGGAAGACCCATTTATATAGACCAGACACAGGGCTGGTTACCTATACTACAAGGAAAGAAAAAAAAGCACTGAATTTTCTCCTTGCCCTTTTTTATACATAGCAACAAAAGGAAATTGGAAGTAAAGGGGAGAAAAGAAGTGAAAAAATAACTATGAAGGGTTATAAAAGACATATACCCAATATCTAGGTCCTAAAAATATTTACCCTGATCCATTTGACCCAAATCTTCCTTTTAGGAAAAAAGGGACAAAAAGAAGGTTTAATCTCCTGTGAACCTAGAGATTAACAGATTATTCCATCATTGTTATTCCTAATGAAATTGTTAAAATTATTTTTTGTGACCCTTGCATGAAACTATAATGAGTACTCTGTCCAGTCACTATTTTTAAAAATTATTTTTATAGGTCTACACAGCCTGGTGTTGACCTATATCAATGCCATCAGCAGTGGGGATCTGCCCTGCATGGAAAATGTAGTCCTGGCCCTGGCCCAGATAGAGAATTCTGCTGCTGTGCAGAAGGCCCTTGCCCACTATAACCAGCAGGTGGGCCAGAAGGTGCAGCTGCCCACAGAGACCCTCAAGGGACTGTTGGACATGCACAAGGACTGTGAGAGAGAGGCCATACAAGTCTTCATGAAGAACTCTTTTAAGGATGTTGGCCAAAAGTTCCAGAAGGAATTAGGGGTATGTTTGGTGTTCTGTGTCATGACAGGCAGAAAAATATTGGTCCTTCTTGAGAAAAGTATTCTTCTTGGACCACAGAACAGTAAAACTCATTGATGTATACATATTTGCAATCATTATTGAAAGATTATGCCTAGTCTTCACTCTATAAAAATCCAAGATTCCCACAAAAATTATTTTTGTTTATTTCTCAACAGTGCATTTTATGCTTTTAGCAATTACCTAAATTGTACAATGCATTTATAAAAAGATTCTTAATTTAGTTTTGTTCTTTTACAGTGAAAGAAGACACATTATTGTTGTGTTCCCTGCTAGTTATCTGGGGGAATGAAATTCTTTTTAAAATAATCCTAATAATTTATTGCTTTTTATGTATGCTGACAGAAAAAAATAGAAAACCAAGAGAGATACACTGATAATAAGATCTTTTTTTTTTTTTTTTTTTTTTTTTTTTTATTGATTGTTCAAAACATTACAGAGCTCAAGACATATCATCTTTCATACATTCGACTCAATTGAGATTTGAACTCCCCAAATACATAATACAGACTCACTTCTGTTACATACTGACGTTTTTACATAATGGCATATTAGTGACTGTTGTATTCTGCTACCTTTCCTATCCCCTACTATCCCCCCTCCCCTCCCCTCCCCTCCCATCTTCCCTCTCTACCTCCTCTGCTGTTGTTCAGTTCTCTCCCCTTTTTTCCCCCCACCCCCTTTCCCCTCATAACCTCTTATAATTTTGTGTATCACTGAAGGTCTCCTACCATTTCCATATGTTTTCCCTTCTCTCTTCCTTTCTCTCCCCCCATTCGTCTTAGTTTACTGGTAGTCTTTTCCTCATGCTCTTCCTTCCTGTTCTATTCTTAGTGGCTCTCTTTATATCAAAGAAGACATTTGACATTTGTTTTTTAGGGCTTGGCTAGCTTCACTTAGCATAATCTGCTCTAATGCCATCCATTTCCCTGCAAATTCTATGATTTTGTCGTTTCTTAGTGCTGCATAATACTCCATTGTGTATAGCTGCGATAATAAGATCTTTATGTAAAAAAATGTCCATTTTTGTTAATTTTTCCACCATGGAATCCATATCTTTCACAACAAAGTGTATAATTATGATATAATCATCATTACTTCATTAGCCTATTATAAAATATTATAAAATATTCTCATATTAAAGAATGTATTAATTAATTATTTATTTTTACTCAGTACTTCTAGAAAGTCACCCTGGCCTACAGTCTGCATCACCTCATATAATCTACAGGATGGTTATTGCTCCTTCTGGTTCACAGACATGGAATCCTCAGTCCATACACATCAAGGTCACAAAGTCCCAGTGAGGTGGGTTCAGAAAATCCATGTAGGCTTGCCTCACTCCCATGCCTGTGCTCTGAAATAGTCCTGAAATTAGAAACCTGAAAGATAAATGCTTCATATGAAATAATACCTGTGCTTTAGAATGACTCTCTGAAAGCAGGAAATCTAGGGGAAGACAGCTTCAGAAAATCACACATAAAAAATTTTTGCAGCAAGCACTTTTCTTAGGGATGTTATAGGATGTCATGGTGAAGTGAAGAGAATGTTCCCATTTAGATGCCACAGTTTCTACAGGAGAAGCATTTCCCAGTAGCTGTGATTAGCCTTCTGCTCAGGGGTTCACTTTTCTGACTGTGCTGTTTGGTAGCTTTACAGGTCCAACTGGAAGGAAAGCGAGAGGACTCTTGTAAGCAAAACAGGGAAGCATCACCAGATAGTTGCACAACTTTATTTCAGGATATTTTTGGTCCTCTAGGAGAAGAAGTGAAGTGGGGGACATTTTCTAAACCAGGTGGTTACCATCTCTTTATTTAGAAAAAATAAGAGCTGAAGAAAAACTAATATCAGGATCGTGGAAAGGGGATAGATGTAGCTGGTACCATCTCGGGGGAGAGTCTGTAAGGAAAATAATAAGAGACACAGAGACAAGATGCAGAGGCAGGAAAAATGGCTGCTTGTCCAAGTGGCCAGGTTTATGTATATCAATAAGTTACATTAGATCATTAGTACCATAACTACATTATTGTATATTCTATCAGTAAGATTGCTTATTTTGTAGTTACATTTTACAGTTACAATATGTAATGTCAGGAACTTTGTGCTGCTCTCAAGAAAGTCCATTGTTACTGTTAGGCAGGCAGAACCAGGAGCACTGGAGCCTGGTGAAACACTGTAGTTTCCTAACAAGCAAGTTCCTTTATTCCCAGAAACTATGTGCCTGAGATCAAAGTCGAGACTCATAAGACTCTAGCATAAAGCCTTCTCATACAGTCATTGCCACTGCAGCTAAATGTTGCACATTTTTTTAGTTATTTTACCAGTTCGTAGGAGAAACCACAGGGCATTCTAAGGGTGGGAAAGAGAGTTTATATTACCTCCCGGAAGTTTGCTCACCAGAGGAACACCTCTCTGTATATCTGCACAGTCAGAATCCCTTTAAGACTCTTTTAAATCCCCATGGAAACAAGGAAGACACTGGGCTTGGTATGCAGTACCTCTGCCTTTTATTTGCCCACTGACTGATTTATTCAGTAAGAGAGCTTACCATGAGAAACATAGGTTCTTTTTTGGAATCACAGAGTCCCCAAAGATGTTTATGAAATTCATTCATTCATCCAATCATCCAGCCATTCTCCAAGGATTCATTTTGACATGTGTGTAAGGTACTTGTCAAGTTGCTAGGAAAAAATAAATTTAAAGACAGAAATAAAAAGCAAATTCACTAAAGAAAAGTAAGTTCTTTCTAAGTACAAACAAGTAATAAACAAATTATATCTTACAAATAATTTTAATGACAGTAGCAATAAATACTTTTATTGCTCTTACTGTGTTCTAGAGTTTAAACCAATTAATCATCACATCAAATCAAAAAAAACTATTTATTATTAATATACCCATTAATTTAAAAAGAAAATTGAGGCACAGAAAAGTACAAGGACTGTCTCAAGATCACCCAGGTAACAAGTGGTACTGCTTGTATGCAAATCTGAGTGACATGATCTGAGCTGTTAACAATTTTTCTAGACTGGTATTCTCAGATTACATCAGTTAGAATAGGTTTGGCTACATATTATTTGAAGAGAAAAAGCACCAATGGCTTCAAAAGAGCAAAAGTTTCTTTCTTGCATCCAAGAAGTGAGGAGGAAAGCACCCAGTGCTTCTCTGATGATCCCATATTTGTCTTAGTCCCAGCATCTTTGTACAAGGTTTGCCTCAAACTGAGTTCATGTTTTAAGAGGGCTGTTTGTTTCAGCCTTTAGCTCCATTTTGTAGGTGGAAAAAAAGGAGGGGTGTGTTTTAAACAGGAGAAGGGCTATGATTAGACTCCCTTTAGGAACTTTCCAAGATTTACCGTGTAATATTTCTGATTATATTTTTGGCAAGAATTTAATCATTTGTGCACCCTAGCTGTAAGGGATGTTGAACATAAAATACAGTATTTTAACATGATTATATCAGATGAGGTAAAATTTCAGCAGATTATTCAAAGAAGCCAGTGAAACAAAAGGATATGTTGGAGAAGGAAGTTTCAAACAACAAAAAAGGTCCCTGAAGAATTCATTGGCTCATGTTCCAGGAGTAGCAAAAAAAAAATTATGTGCTGTGAGCAGGAAGCAAAGGAGAGTCTTCAGGAGATAAAACCAGAGGCCAGAAAAATGAGTGCTTCGAAGGACACTGAAATCAGCTTGAAATTCATTTGGCTGAACAGAAAGAACGTCAAAAGAAGGTTTTGAGTGTAAGAGTGATTTTTTTCTGAAAGTAATATGGCAAAACTCTTGTTGCTCTGAGGAGGACTGACTGTGGTAAGAGGTGATGATGCCTTGGGCTAGTGTATTTTGGTGCAATGCGTGACAAGTGACAGGTTCTGGTTATATGAGGGTGTGAAGGGAAAACAAGATATCAAGGATATAGTTGGATGAACTGTTACGAGTTGCTAAAACTGAAGTGACTGGGAAGGATCAGTTTGACGGGGAATCCAGGGTTAAGTTTTAGACCTAATCAATTTGAAATGCTACTTGAATTGTAAAGTAAATTGTTACATGGCTGGGAACACTTGAATTAAGAGATGTATTGCAGGTTGGTTTTTCTTTAATCCATAGTCTCTATTTCCTAATTTGAATGCTCCTGTTTAGGCTGAAAAGATGTTGCAAAAATACTTGGATTCAAAGGAGGAAGTGGCAGATTCACTCCTACAAACTGATCACTCATTCACAGAAAAAGAAAAAGAGGTTGCAGGTGAAAACAACCGAAAACACTGAGACTAGTTGGAAAGCCTAGAAGTGTTTGTTGACAGTATTGGTCCACATGAAATTATCATCATAAAGAAACAATAGCAGAAGGCGTGGTGGCCCATGACCCTAATTCAAGTAACTGGGGTGGTTGATGTAGGTGCATCAGGAGTTCAAAGCCAGCCTCAGCAGATAAGTGAGGCACTTAGCAACTCAAGAAGATTCTGTCACTAAATAAAATATTAAAAAGGGCTGGAGATGTGGCTCAGTGGTTAAGCACCCCCTGT